CTGCATTAGTATTGCTAATTCACAAGACCTAAATTACGCTTTAAATCTCATAATAAAAACAACTTCAAATCTTAGGATGATGCGAGTATAGTTCTCAGACAAACGCTCTTTTCTAGTTAGAAAAGTGTTGTTCATGTAGACGAAAGCAGACAAAAAGACATGTTACTCTTGCTTTCCTCACGGACACTTACAGCGCGACTTTATCAATTCCTTAGATCATACAAAAAGGTGAAATAACCGTGTTCTTAATTACTCATTATAAATTTAATGTAAAAGAAGGATATACCTGTTGAGATGATGCCGACGTTAAGTGAAATGAAGATATGCTGCAAAACCGTGGGTCCCAAAGAGGCCAGAAAGATGAGGTGGTCCTGTATTAAACACTCAAGGAGAGCGAAGTAAATGTGAGCAGTTTTCGGATATGTCTGGAGCGAAAGGTCCCGGAAATGAGAAGAGAGGGTTCAAGCGACGAATGAGGGGTAGCATTGAAAATGAATGACAGATACCATAACCGTATTGCTTTAACAACCAGTGGAAATCATCAGTAAATATTATAATTATTAAATTGTGATAGGTCGAATGCAAATATAGTGTATATATAAGGAGCCAAAATTGGCTGAGATCGATTCAAAGGATAAGTGGGCTCAGAAACAGTGTTCTATTAAAAATGAAGGACTCCTAGGCAAACATAAACTAGTTTATTTTTTTATAACAATCAATTTCATAAATAAATAGCTTCCACTTCAAAAATTCTTAACGATTAAGAACCAGCGTACTTATAAGAAACGAAATCTCCAAGATTCATGGAAAACCATAGAGACTAGGATATGAAGTAGGGGAAGAATTCAATAGAATACTAAATGAAAAAAATGAAGCAACTTGGGTAGAATGTCCTTAGATCCGGACAAAACCCGAAGTCCTTATAATAGACGTAGCATTAATAGGAATCCACATATTGATTGATTCACTACATCAATTCTAAGGGCCTTAAGAGTGTTGATCAAAACGAAGCATCAGTAGATAACCTATTCAACGATGTATGCAACTAAGTAAAGGATAAGTAATAGCAGTAATAATTAAATCGATTGCTTCTGGTGTCAATGTATGGGTGGTTCAATATTGGCATTCGGAACCATACCACACTTAATTACCCATGAAGCAAATTAAGTGGTTACAAACATGCCGTTTTTAAGAAAAGAAACCCTTTTATCTTAATTTAATCCCTTGTTACCAATTGATAGAATCCTGGCTAAAGCAAATGAGATCAGTAAATCAAAAAGAATTTAAGGGAAAAGTTGAAAGGGCATTAAGCCAACTTAGCAGAAATGTAAATGGAGATAAAACGTTGTTAAGTTAAAAGCTCAAAACAACTAAAAAAGAGCCTTCGAATCTGATAAAAAAAGAGTCAAACAGGGGAACTTTAAAATCATTACTAACAAGTTTACTGAGAGCCTTAAATTAGGGTAATTATATTTTCAGAAGATGCAAGTCAGTTAATATCATTCAAATTACCACAAGATCGGGATACTGGATTCCCATTATTAACCGGACACCCATCTCGACAGACTTCTCCAAAGAAGTATCACCAAAAAGGCTGAAGACACCAAAGTTAACTAGTCCACCAGAAAGGCCAATTCGAAGCATATCTAAAGCAGCTGTCAGAGGCTTAAGAAGACGACTACGAAAGGCGGCTGCAGATTCTAAGGAGTCCGAAAAAGTGTCTCTACCTCCAGAGACCTCAAGATGTGGCAGAATTTGAGAGCCTTTCAATAAGATGAGTAATAAAAGAAAAATTTAAAAACGCTTTAAAGAAGAGCATAAATTGAAAATTACGATAACTGCATACCATTAGATGTTGGAAGATTGCTGAGTCTAAGATCAAAGTTATAGCAATATCTTATGACATGCTGATACCCAATCCAAGGCCTTAATAAAAGAATTGCGATCTTCCTCCTATGATGTAATTGATGTCTTTATTTTTCGAATGTAAATCATGCAAAATGCAGGAAGAATATTTGACTGAAATTTAGCTTCGGCAATAAAAAATGTGGAATGATAAAATTAATATCAGTATGATGAAGCTTGTTCCGACTATCTGGAACCGCACTTTTTTAAGTCTTGTTATTATGGAGAATAAGCTGTTCCTTACCTCATTTTCAAACCCATTTTCTGGTTGATAGTGACATCGAGTTATAAAGAAATATGGAAAAAAAGAAATTCATATTTTACAATGCGTAATAACATAATGTTCGTCTGTTGAAAAAAAGCATTATAATGATAAAAGTAATGTGAAAATTACGAGGAAATAAAAGATATCTGATTAATTATCAAGCAGTCAGAAAATCGTGTCTTATTAGGAGATCTCGATCTTGCATATTTTCTCGAAGGTATGAAGACCAAGATGGTGTGGCCTTTTGTGTGGTCGCAGTCTCTTTT